GTCACAATAACAATGGTCGGGCAGCTCACTGACAAAGTATTGGTGCGCCAGTATAGCGCCGGCGGATTTCCTATAGCCGTCGTTGATGGTGACGTCACGGGCGCGATCTACGGCCGCCTGGTACGCAGTTTGCACGTCATCAGGATTCCACGCCCTTATTCTATCCAATAATTTCCTCACAATGCTTGTGTGACCGCCGTCGGCAGCCCACACTAACATCGTCCTGCCATTGTTATCGCGACTCTCCTCCACACGCGCTCCTGCTGCTAGTAGCTTCATGACACACGATGCACGATCGTTACTGGCAGCACGCATCAACGCCGTCTTGCCATCCACGTCCGCGTGTTCTATGTTAGCCCCTGCACCTAACAACGCTGTGACCGTATCCGTATGACCGTTAATAGCCGCTACTATTACTGCGGTCCTGCCATAATCGTCCGCGTGTTCTATGTTAGCTCCCGCACCTAACAACGCTCTGACCGTATCCGCATGACCGTCAACAGCCGCTACTATTACTGCGGTCCAGCCATCATCATTCGCGTGTTCTATGTTAGCGCCCGCATCTAATAACGCTGTGACCGTATCCGTATGACCGTTAACAGCTGCTGATATTACTGCGGTCCTGCCACTCACGCTCGCGTGTTCTATGTTAGCACCTGCATCTAACAACGCTGTGACCGTATCCGTATGACCGTTATCAGCTGCTGCTATTACTGCGGTCCAGCCACGCGTGTCCGCGTGTTCTATGTTAGCGCCCGCATCCAACAACGCTGTGACCGTATCCGTATGACCGTTCTCAGCTGCTACTATTACTGCGATCCAGCCATCATCGTTGGCGTGATCTATGTTAGCGCCTGCATCTAACAACGCTGTGACCGTATCCGTATGACCGTTAAAAGCTGCTGCTATTACTGCGGTCCTGCCACGCACGTCCGCGTGTTCTATGTTAGCGCCTGCCCATAACAACGCTGTGACCGTATCCGTATGACCCTTAAGACCTGCTACCATTACTGCGGTCCAGCCATCATCGTCTGCGTGTTCTATGTTAGCGCCTGTATCGAATAACGCTGTGACCGTATCCGTATGACCGTTACTAGCTGCTGCTATTACTGCGGTCCAGCCATCATCGTTCGCGTGTTCTATGTTAGCGCCCGCATCTAATAACGCTGTGACCGTATCCGTATGACCGTTTCTAGCTGCTGCTATTACTGCGGTCCAGCCATCATTGTTCGCGTGTTCTATGTTAGCGCCCGCACCTAATAACGCTGTGACCGTATCCGTATGACCGTTAGCAGCTGCTAATATTACTGCGGTGAAGCCCTTGACGTCCGCGTGATCTATGTTAACACCTGCACCTAATAACGCTGTGACCGTATCCGTATGACCGTTAGCAGCTGCTACTATTACTGCGGTGTT